TATCTTCTAATCTCTTTTTCACTCTTTCTCAATGCATTTCACTTTTTTCTTCTTTTTCTCCAATTAAAAAAAATAAAAAAAATAAATAAATAAATAAAACATAATAATGGTGTGGAGAGGATGGCTAAAGGGGGAGAAGGGAGGCCATCTAAAAAAACAAAAAAAAAAAAAAGGTACCATCTGAAGCTTCATACTTATAAGATTTTCATATTAGTATTTTAAGCCTAATTTAAGCTTAATTTGTTGTGCTTTCATCATATTGGTAAGTAGTTCTTCATGTTACAGGATAAATAATTATTTTGTGTTTACTAGAAACTGTTCAAAATGACAAAGTCATATAGAAGGACTGTAGTTCACATTAACATTGGTTTTTTTAGTATAAAACATTTGAACAGAATAATTGTGGGATAGATCACACAATGTACCTGCGATCATCTTCTCCCTCTTCAGATCTACCTGCAGCCACTGCTGCTGGTCACTCTGTGAAGGTGCCCAGGGCAGCCCTGTCTTTTTCAGGCGAGCCCCTGATGGGCCCCACACATGCAGACCGGTGACGGTCCTCCAGTCCCACACAGACGAGGCGCTGAGCTGAGTGTCTGCAACACCACCAGACTCCAAGCCCAGCGTTCCGTAGCAGCCTGAAAAACACAAATCGACATCAGAAGTTTTGTTCCAGGAGAGTGAGTTTACGGTTGCTAGAGAAGCTTTTAACAGCTATTGATTTCAACTCACCATTTGTTTTGAAGGTGAAGAGGCTGTTTGACAAAGTTCCTCTGAGGAGAAACAAGAAAGAACAAAGAACTCAGATAAACATAGCAGATGGTGAGAGTGGAGCAGATTGTGTCCTGCAGCATCTGAATGTGTTACCCAGTGGAAGTGACATTGTTAGCCAGTGTGCCCTCATAGTGAGGAATGCCTTTGCTGCTAACCACACTGATCGTCCCCCCCTCAGAGTTGGACACCACACCTGCATGAACTGCTGCAGCGCACAGAGGAGAAGACTGCAGGAACAGGAGAGAAAAAAAGAAAACGAGAGATTGTGACTCTTGCTTTCACAGCTAAAAACAGTAAATTATACAGACTGACAGCCATTTGTTTGAGACAAGATATGCCTCCTGCTCCAAGTTCTACAGAAGCCTGACTTACACATTCATTTTAATCAGGTTCAATATACAGTCCAATTTTCGTATATATATTTTTTGTATTAGTATTCTCTTAGTATTCTTTCGCAAGGTAAATTCAATGTATGACACTTATTGGTAAGAAGGAAGATTTTTGTAAAAGCCATACATTCCTCCAGGTTACATCATCAACAAAACGGTTCCAATCTGACATGACAGCTGTAAAGGGAAACCTCATTCTGAAAAAGGGACCAAAATGTTTTGTTATTGTTGCAAGGAAGAAAGTTAAAACATATTTTGCCTACAGAGGAATGTATTGGTGTAAGTCAGGGCCTGATGACAGCTGATCCCTGGTTTCTGTTTAAATAACAAGAAGATTTCTAAGGAAATAGTACCAAAACCTTTAGAGTATTCTCCAGGAGTCAGGGATTACAGATTTTGACAAAACTCATTATAGCCAAGTAAAAAAAAAAAACATAATTGTTGAAAAGCTGATCTACTAGAATGATGTTATGCCTAAACCACATTTCAAAAAATTGTTTTTTGTTTAAATAAAATATCCTTATTATTTCAGAAGAAATAATGAGGGGAGACCTGTTTGTAGATGAGTGGCCATGGTAAGAATGCCTGGCAATAGAATACAGATAATTTAACAGGAAGAGGTCTTCTTGAATTCTGGGATACAAAAGTATGTTCAATTAATACAGCTGGGTAGAGATGTGAATTCTCTAAAATCGATTTGATTTTGATTCATAAAGTTCTGAATCGATTCAATTCAAATTCAATCTGTCCATAAGTAATGAAGATGTTGCAAAGTAGAAATTTACTTTACTTTTTCTCTTCAACATAAACAGGACAATTTGTAAATTGGACAGTTTAAACTTGAACTACAAACAAAACTCTCTCAAGACTCAAAGGTGTTTAAATTAGGAAGGAATTGCAAGTGAAAGTGTACTTAAGCTGCAACATTCCATCACTGTAAATGTCATTAAGACATTGTTTCTTAAAAGTTAAAAATCATAATAGTGGTAACAAAACAATTTCTTTAGAATGTCGTTTTTCACACAGTTATACATCCACGGTTTCAGTCAGATGTTTACGGTGCACCATAACATTATTTGGGTCAAACACCTTAATGAGCTATAGCCTTCGTTTTTCCACTACCGAGTACGGGTGAAAATGTTTGCAAACAAAAGCTGCCATGGCTTTGGTTATTTTTTATGTCCCATGGAAAAAAATCGAATTCCGTAGTTTCTTTTGTTGCCCCGGAAGACTTGTTGTCGGAAGCTAATGTTTAGGGATGTCCCGATACAACTTTTTCACTTCCGATACGATACCGATATTGCAACTTTGAGAATTGTCAAATACCAGTATTGACCCGTTACCATAACAGTACAAATCACACACTTTTACCTATTTTGTAATGTAAAATCTTAGAAAAGTCTTGATCAAGTCAAACAGTGAAAAAGAGTAGGTATGAGGAAAATTGACCCATTTATTTTTAACCAATGGATCACATACATTTTAAACTGAAGAACATTATACAATTTATTAAATAAAATAAATTACAATACCCTGAAAAAATAACATAATAAAAACAAAATGCACTTTTAAAGTGTAAAATAATTCAAAATAACTCCAGCTATTATTTTTTTACCATCTGTCAGCCTTGTTTTGCTTTATGGTGGGAATAACTGAAGGTGGGGACAAAACAAAACCCCACATTATTGTCTGTTCAAAGTTAAGAGTCCACAGCAACAATTTTACTGACTGTGCTCAAAACAACGTGATCATTGATAGATAGATAGATCTTTATTTGCCATTTGTGCATATACTAGCAGTTTACACACATTGAAATTCTTGTGTGGGCATCTCTCCTAGTCACAGTATAGATGACAGAACAGTAATGATCGAAAAAACATTATAAGGTCTAAGAAAACAGTATAAGAACAATAAAAAAGTAAAAAAGTAATAAAAATATAAAAATATATTTATGCATAAGCACACTAAAAAAAGAATAAAAAATTTAAAAGATAAATTTCAGCACAATAGATGGTGTGGCACAATAGCAGCACAARAGWACAATCAGTGTGTCAAATGTAGGACCTGTATGCAACTTAGCAGCATTTCACATTTCTTAGGGATGAATGAATAAATTCAGTGCACTTAATCTTCACTAAAACAAGTGTGTKAATAGATTAAACATCACTCTACAAACAAGAACAAAAATAAATAGTAAGAATCAGTCAGTTAATTATTGATACCTTCTACAGTCTGAGCATCATGTGGAGATTAGCCTTTCTCTCCTGCAGGGAGCAGTTTTMATCACTGCTCTSTCGTCATGTCGTGCTCGTATTCCAAAACAAAATCTGCGCTCTTCCTTTCTTCTGTCCATCAACAGCTAATCCACGGGCAACATTCTGCTGACGTCAAAACCATAAAAAGCGTCCTGTCCTCGCTTCTGCCCGCTAGAACCACCGGAGTGAGAGGAGGTTCTGCTCGGTTGGAATCCTGGAGACACTTTTGGACTGAGGCTGAACCGAGCCGAACCGCAAAGCTGCTGCCAGGGTGGAGAGTAGTTGTCGCTCCAGTTTAAAATGTTCACGGTTCTGTGCCCCCACGGAAAACTTGTGCATGACAACTTTGCACTTCGCTTCAACTCTGTTTCTGATGAAAATAGAAAGTTCTGCCGACGTTCTTGCTAACTTGTAAGCGCAGCATGTTGTTGTGATCCTGTGAGTGCTGCATGCTGGATCCAAGCACTGCTGGATAGAAACATTGGAGCGAGCGGAGGCAGTGGACTGCTGGAACGGACTGCTAATATCGGAGCGCTTATATCGGATATTTTTTATGCAGGCCGATAAATCCGATACTCAATTTTTGGCTGATATCGGACCGATATCCAATATCAATATCGGATCGGGACACCCCTACTAATGTTAGCGCTTGTGCACTTCAACCAGCCGTAAATGTATGGCCAGCCAGGGAGACACAAAACATACAGTATAAACGTGCTTCTGCTTCATCACGCATGGGACTACTGAGGTTAACGTCATGCATCTCATGCCCAATGAATTGATATTATAATTTAAATGATCCATGATTGGTTTAATTGATTTGTTTTACCCAGCCCTAGTAATTATAGGATAAAACAACCATCAAACAATCATTAATCTTCAAAGGAGCACCAGCTCTAAAACAGAAAGTGAAAATGTGTTTGCCTTTTGTGGTAAAATGCACAAAAGTTTCAGATACTCATTAAAACACTATCAAGGGAATATCCTGTCAGAAGGAAGTGCTCTGAAATGGTACTGCAAATTCAATTTGTCACAAAGTGAGGAAGTGGTAGTCCTGTTTGTACAGTAGGATCAGTTCAACCTTCAGACTGAGACAGATAAAAGCTGATGAGTCAGGATGATGTCACCTCTGCATGGGATCTGCTGTTGTGAATGACTCATTGCCCACTGCATTCCTGTTCAAACCTGATGCCACATCAAAAACCTGACAAAAAAACCTAGTTCTTCCACACTCCTTACGAATCAGCAGCTGCTCGATCAGGGTGAAACTTTATTACGAGTAAAAAAGAGCCTCACTGGAATACGCCAGCTGAGAATACTGTGGGAAAAAACTGGTGAGCCACAGAGTGACAAGTGCACATTCAGCACACATGAACACCACAGTCGAAGCTGCCACAAGCAATCAACGCTTTCCTCGTAACTTCCCAAAAGTCTCACACCACATCCTGAAGGGGACTGTCACAAAACCGCTAACACAAATCACAACACCCTGAAAACCCTACTGCCACCCACCCACACATACAAGTACACACACAACTGGGATGTAAAAAAACAAAAAAAGGAGGGAAAAATATACGATTGAGATCTGGGTGGGGTCCGTTATACAAACTCAAATCAAAGTTCTAAAGGCTTGAACACACCCTCCAAGAAGGCAACATGAATGAATTTCATGCACAGAAACAAATAAAAATAATGAAAAACAGGTGTGCACACACAAAGCTTGTGTTTGATTAGCACCGATTCCTCTCGTCTCTGCAAAAAATAAAATTAAATGTAAAAAACAAACAAAATAAATAAATAAAACACTCATTGAACAGCTCTGCTCGGCACCCGCCCACAGCTGGACTGAATTACAAGCTGATTATTTTCAGCCAAACTATTATCCAGCCTCCCTTTCACCCAGTGACCCAGCCCCTCCTCTGTTCCTGTGGGGCGTTGTGCTCCCCGAAGCCCACACCGACACTCCTCCCAGTCCTCCTATCTGCCAGCACCTCCCACCCTCTGCAAAAACCCTCCAGCTCCAGATGAGGTCATCAGTGAGAGACTCGGCACCTGTGACCTTACACACAGCGGGGGAGCTCTGAGGTCATCATACCAGGACCAGGACAGGGAGCTGGGCCAGTTTCAGTCAAAGCAAATGTAAGTAAACATTAATGATTTGACCACAGGAGGGAAAAAGAGTATAACTCACCTCTCGATATCCATTGGGTATCGTTCCAGAAACCTCCTTTGCAGATGTCAAACACCCTGCAGGACAGTACTTACTGAGAAGAGAAGGACACAATGAACATACAAAAAGTCTGATCTCTGCACCAATATGAACACAAAGCGATGGCTGTTCACCTGAACTCTGCCTCGGGGAAGTCGGTTCCTTTGTCGAGGCAGGTGATTAAATCTGCAAGTAAAACAAACAAGCGTCAGAACTGGTTTATCTACATTATCCTGCACAACAACCCCTTTTATAGAAAACAACGGCTGCAACTCTTACAGACCATTCAGCCACACTAAAGACCAAACCTCAAACTGTTCCACAGCACTCAAAATAGGGCTAGGCGATATGGCAAAAAAAAAAAAAAAGATCACGATTAATTTTTTCATATCGTCCGAGCAAAATTAATTTCACAATATTTTTGTTAACATAAACAGTGACTGAAAAATTATTTAACAAATAAATAGCTACAGAAATAAAAATAATATTTGGCTGTTATTTCACTTTCACTAATATAACAAATAGCTGTGATTCAGTAGAACATTAAATTATTTTTGCAAGGTATTTAAATCATAGAATATCACATTAATAAAGTTATCCTTTTTGTAAAATTAAAGTTTTAGAATTGAATTTCACATTAAATATGCCATAAAGAAACATAAACCTACAAAAAGCAGCAATTTGTGCACACTTGGATAGGATCTAAGCTCATTACTTTTGTTATGGAAGGAACCCCCCCACCCCCACGGTTACAGTGCTTACGGACAACGCTGTTCTGTTTCATCCCTACTGACCGCCAGAGGCGGTGCTTAAAGCACTGAATGATCTACCATCTACTCGGCAGCCCTCCCACCCTCATAAAGGTCGGGGGGCTTGTAAATGACACCAGGGATCAGGCGGTGGGACACTTTACCCTGGTTCAACTCAATCATCGGGCTGCTCTCATCCCCAATGCATGGGTTGTGTCAACTATAGCCCAGGGTTATTCCATACAGTTCCACCACCGCCTTCCCATCCCTGGTCGGGTCAGAATGAGAGTCATTCACGATCAGGTGAAAGCTCTGGCACTGAGCACACAAACAGACTCTTTGCTGGCCAAGGGTGCCATAGTGCCGGTCAACCCCCTGCTGGATCCGGGGGCGGGGGGCTTTACTCAAAGTATTTTTTAGTACCGAAGAAGACTGGCGGCTTACGCCCAGTCTTAGACCTGAGGTGTCTGAATGCGTTTTTAAAGGCGATCCCTTTTCACATGTTGAGTGTCAAGGATGTACTTCAAGTGGTCTCTACAGGCGACTGGTTCACCTTGGTTGACTTGACAGACGCTTATTTCCATGTGCCGATTGCGCCCCGTCACTGGAGGTTTCTCCGTTTTGCATTTTAGGAGAGGCATTTTCAATTCAGGGTTCTCCCGTTCGGCCTCTCCCTGTCTCCCCATGTATTCACCCGGTTCATGGCTGCAGTCTTGCATCCTCTGCAGGCCAGGGGTTTGAAGATTCTGCCTTATCTGGAAGACTGGCTGATCTGTGCACTAACAAAAGATCAGGCCACGGCAGACACACTAAAGGTGCTCAGTCATATAGACCAATTGGGTTTTCACATGAACTGGGAGAAAAGCAGCCTTGTTCCATCTCACGAGGTCACTTTTCTCGGCATCGTGTTAAACTCCCTCACGATGATCACTTGCCCATCGCCACAGCATGTCACTTGCCCATCGCCACAGCAAGTCAGTGGGATTCTGCAAACACTACCCAACTTCCTGCCTGGTAACCCCCCCCCCCTGCTTACTTCCACCTGTTGGGCAGGCTATTGCTGCATCTACAGTGGTTCCCCTAGGTCTGTTGTCACTGCACCCCCTACAGATGTGGATAAACAGTCTGCGGCTGGATCCGACTTGTTTACCACACTGGCGCAGGAGGTTGCGGGTGTCCCCTCAATGCCTTCTGTCAGTGGCTCAATGGCGGGACGCAGCATTCATGACATAAGGGGTTCCACTAGGCTCTCTACTGTCTCACAGAGAGGTTGTGTATACCAGGGGTCACCAATACAGCCATAACCCCCAAGCAGCATTAGCTTCTGGCCGGGGACCCTTTTTGCAAACCCGAAAACAATGCTACAAAATATGTAAAGATCCAGTTTTACATTTTATAAATCACTTTTTATCATTGTTATATTTGTTTAGCATAGGATTTTTTAACGTTTTAAACACTATTATGATCCCACTGTAAAAAAAACGCTCTCTTAAATAACATTTGAATATATTTTTGTGAAAATGTTTTTCAAAATCCAATTGAAAAACAGATTAAATTTTATAATACTAATTTAAAACATTCATTAGATTTAAATATTAGGTTTTCACCTTTTTTTTTTCTTATCTCCCCCTCAAACTTTTTGAGGGCCCCTTAATGCCCACTGGCAAACTTAGTGGCACCCCACTTTGAAAAACACTGTGCACAGTCATTCCTACTGTTGAACTTGTACCCATGCCTTGTCATAATAAGTTATGCTTGATATTATTTATATTTTTCATGTGTATAAATAGGTCAGAATAAAGAATTTGTGTCAGTGTAGACTATGCTATTTCCCACCGGCAACAATTGTTGTGAAGTACAAAACCTACATTTTCACTAACACAATCAACATAAAATGAAAAAAAAAATCATAAATACTGTGTGTTAGGGTGGCCTACGGAATGAAATGCATGCACTTATTTTGCAGGGAAGAATTTGGGATTAAATGGGTTTTAATATCAACCATGTTAATATCTTTATCTGTTGTTTCTTTAAAATTATTATTATTTTTATTAAATTTATCTGTACCAGCATAATGTTAGTTTTAAGATCTGAGTAAACTATGTAGAGTCAAACTATTAACTAATAGAAATAAATAAAAGGTGATGGTTTATTTTTGTAAACTGTGATCAGATTTTCCATCTTCTTGAATAAGAAACAGCTGTACAATTCATTTTTATTTCTTCAGACAAAACAAATAGTCTATATTCAGTCAAAGTCAGTCATAGTTCAATTTAATTAGCCACAGCTAATATTAAAGTCCCCTGTATAAACAAAAACAAGTGGTTTGATTATGTAGTCGTGGACAAAAAAACAGTTTTTTATGCAGCCCCAAACATATTTACTTATTGTTTTAAATGCGGCAAAAGTGGCCACATTTGATGCAAAAGGCATCAAATGTTGTGGTTGTTGTTTATGTCACAAACTGAACAGGGGGTGGACTGACATAAAAAAATCTGCTACTAAGAATTTATGCCTCTGTAAAACCACAAATTTTTCATGAAATAAACTGCATGTGATAACACACAAAGAGGAGAAATGAAGAAACCGTGACAAGCTGCCAAATTTTACACAAACCCATATGTTAAATATCAGCGAGTCCTTCCAGGACAATATAATTACTTCAGACCCATAAAACAAAACAAAAGCAGAGGTACAGAGAGAAAACAGCTGTGACTAACACAATCACACGCAATCATGGAGGCAAGTCTTCCCCTCAGGTCCAAAACAGAAAATGTAACTCAGGTCCCTTAAAGGAAACAAATGCTGCTGCAGGCTGGGGCCGACAAACAGATCATCTGCAGAAAAAGGACTGCGTACCTGAATGCTCAGTGGTGGAGTAGGACATGTAGAATCCTTGTCCATTGTGGTGCACCCCACTCATGAACTGGACTGTGACCTGGTTTCCAGAGGACTCGATTTGTTCATTGACTTTTAGATCCAAACTGCAGTATTTCACTGTTGGCCACACATGAAAAAAATAAAATAAAATCTGATTAGACACAAAAACTTTTATATTTGCTTTAGAGAAGTTACTTGACAAACTAGATTTGGGGAAAATTAAAACCTCACTACCCACTTTATGCAAGCCTAATACTACATTGTGTTTGAACATGCACTGAAAACCAGAATGTGTCAACTTTCACCATTTTATGACATGCAGTAACATTTGTTCTGAACCTCTTGCTAATAAACTTGAATTGGTTCATTTACTGAGAGAAAATGGTAAACAATGTTTTTTAAACTAGAACTGCAAGCAGTTATTACATCAATCCAAGCCCCCCATGAATTTTGACCCTGGCGCTGCATGTCACCCCCAACCCTGCAAACTGTAGACTTGTACCATGACGAGGCTAATTTGAGCTCTCAACTACTTTATGTATGAGGGCTCCAAGGTTAGTGTATAAGGGGCCAAAGCTCCCCAAAATCTTACTGATTTCCTTTATACTCTGATAAATTTGGTGTACCAGTGAAAATAATATTGTCATTTTTAAGTACCGTATTTATTCATGTATAATATGATCATCGTTTTTTGAGCTTCAAAAGCATAAAAAAATCTAATCAACGTGTTATGAGCCACCACTCCTTTCTGACAGAAACATTATTTAGGGAGACACACTTGTGTGGGCGTGTTCTGCTGCAGAGCTAAAGAGTGTTGCAGCCCTGGAGAATCCTGTGTCATAGCGCTCGTTTCATTGCATGGGCAGGTACAACAGCAACTCTCGAGGGTCAAAAATGTGAAAGGTAATAAATCCAACAGAGATACAAGAAGCATACAGATTATTCAAAGTAAAAGTATACAGATTAGTCTTTATATAAAGTTTTTGTTTACAAAGTCAAAAAAAGAAGAACAGTAAGATTAAGTAAAAACGTTTTGATTTGCACTCCAAATCAGTAGGTGGCAATAATGCACACTTACAGTTGTTTACCAACCGCCACAAAACACCACAAGAAAAATGAAACCTTATCACAGGTAAATATTACGAGATAATTTGTTTTTTAATTCTCCACCTAGAAATAGTTATATTTACCATTTTAACCAACTGGATAAAAATGTGTGTCTCAGTAGACACATGTGGTATTGCAATTTACTAAATTTGATTATGATTCTTCTATCAAGAAAGTTTATGTTGACAAAACAGTTTCCCTGCATGGCTTTTAGTTTTTAACAACATTCACAAGTAAAATAACTGACTGCATCAAAAATAATGCTAATACCATGCTCATAAATAGTATTTAATACATATGTATATTTTTTCTTTTGTTATTGATATACCCACAGGTTATGTTGGATGTGTGAAGATGGGAGAGCTGCAGGGTATATTTTCAGAGGATCCCTGCCCTGGATTTTGTAGCCAATTCTGCCAGCTGCTGTATTAACTGACACTCAGCTCCTATTGGGCCCATTTTAGCTGTAACTTCCCCTAGTATTTGCTCTTAATAGGGTTTTTTTGCTTGTGTGTGTTTGTGTGTGAATAAATAAACAAGATAAGAAATGCAATGCATTAATTTCATTTATCAAAAGGAAATTGTTACAAGTGCTTACCCTGTAGTCCTACTGTATGTGTGAGAATAAAAAAAATAAATAAGTAAAGTGACCAAGTTCTGTTTTTTAAAGGGACATTCTGCCTCGAAACAATTAAGGTAAACAATTAGAAGTTTAAATTTGAATTAAAAAATTCCCTTAAGTGGATAGAAAATCATAAAAAAATAAGTGTATAAACAATTTAAGAAGATGTTATTAACCAAGCATTCACATTGTAACCCTTAACTTGTAATTGGCTATAGCCAAAAGGGTAGGCTATAGCCTATATACACTCACCGGCCACTTTATTAGGTACACCTGTCCAACTGCTCGTTAACACTTAATTTCTAATCAGCCAATCACATGGCGGCAACTCAGACATGGTCAAGACAATCTCCTGCAGTTCAAACCGAGCATCAGTATGGGGA